GCATGATCTACCGTATCAAAAGCCGCACTCAGATCTAGCAGCACAAGTACTGTACAATCCCCAGAATCGGCAGCTATTAAAACATCGTTTAGAATCTTCAGGAGTGCAGTCTCTGTTGAATGATCATTTTTAAAACCTGATTGAAAAAGCTCGAATACCTTATTTTTATCTAGAAAACTCTGCAGTTGTTGCAGCACTGTCTTCTCTAAAATCTTTGAAATAAAAGGCAAGTTAGAAACAGGTCTAAAATTAGTCAAAACATTTAAGTCTAAGTTTGGTTTCTTTAACAAAGGGCGAACTATAGCATGTTTTAAAGCTTCCGGTACCGTGTATGTTTCCAGACATCGATTTATTATGTTTAAAAGATAAGGCCCCACTGCATCGAAAACTTGTTTTAAAAGGAATGGAGGGATGGCATCCATAGAGGAGCCTGACAGTTTTAATTGACCAACTATTTCTTGAAGAGGGGAGAGAGAAATAGGTTCAAATTGCTGAAACTCCGCCTTACAAGCCGTAAAGATAGAAGGATCAAAAGAGGGACAAGATATCTAATGTCACTGATCTTATTCACAAAAAATTGAAGAAAATCATCACACAGGGTCTTTGATACAGCAGGATACTCATAAACACATTGATTAATAACAGCATTAAAAACAGTAAAAAGAGTTCTTGGTCCATGGTAATTTTTAGTAATAAGTTTCGTAAAATAACTGGATCTTGCTGCTCTTAAAGCCTTTTGATATTTTAACAATGAGTCCCTTAATATTTCAAAAGAGACCTGAAGCTTATCTGTCTTCCATCTACGCTCTGCTCTTCTGCAAGACTGCCTCAGGGAGTGTATGTTATCATCAATCCATGGGTCAACTCTTGGTTTAGATTTTAAGGTCTTTACAGGAGCCACTGCATTTAAAACATTCACACATGTAGAACTGAACTCAGACAAAAGCTCCTCTGCACTTAATTCATACTGGGTTGCATCCATAGCGTGCATAGTATCGCAGAAAGCTAATAAAAAAAACTATATTAGTAGCAGAGTTAATTAATCGTGATTTACGGACTTGCTTTTTGAGTTGCAACGGGTTTGATGATATAGGAATAGAAAACATAACACATTTATGATCAGAAAACCCATTGTCCACTATCTCCAGATCATAAAGAGAAATTCCATATGATAACACAAGATCAAGAGTATGACCACTTTGGAACAATTTCATCCAAAAAATCTGAAATCTCATTTAAGAAGTCTGCATTGTATTTAGGAGGGCGATATAACAAGGCAATCAATAGTGGACTATTTAGTTCAAGTATAAACAGTTGCAGCTCAAAACTTCTGTATTTATTTTGTACTATTTGGCGATGAGAAAGTTTGTCTTTAAAAATAGAAAGTAATCCTCCGCCTCTGCCAGTTAAGCGAGGCGAATTTAAAAACAAACAGCTCGAGGATAAAAGTTCCGAAAGAGGGCTTGAATCACCGATGGTAAGCCAGGTTTCCGTAATACATAAGCAGTCCAACTCACGCGAGGTAAAAAAGACATTTATAATAAAAGTCTTATTTACCACCGATCTCGAATTTAGTAGACCCATCCTTAACCGAAGCGGATTGTCCGTTAGCTCCTTTGACTGCCGCACCTGAGGAAACGTGCAAAGATGGTTGAAGCACACTCCTCGATAGTCGCCGACCGACCACCTCTCCCGAAGTCCCACGAACCGCACACCAGACTGCAGAGCCAGGTAGGACTTCAGCCGAACAGCACAGCCCCCCCGTTTTCCACGTTTCTTCCTCTGTCTCCTCACCGGTAGCGAGCACGGCCATCGCCAAAGATAGTCAGGTATCGATGACAGGAAAGGAGGAGGTGGATAGTATGAGCCATTTGAGTCATAGCCCAGCAAATTGTTTGAACTGGTCCGCAGACTTAAGATAGTTGACCTGTCATAGACCAATATCGCACACTGCGTTACTTTTAAAATAAAACAAAATAAAACAAACAATACAAATACTAGCTTCTGAGACCGACGGCACGCCATGTACGTGAGAATGGTTATGAAAAGATGCCCCCTGTTGAAGAGACGCTGGTCTGCTATCTCTCTATGGGGAGACATCTCTTAAAGCTCCCTCCCTGCCATCCAAACCCCTTCAGTATACATCTTGTTTGAATGGCAGGGCATACGTGGCAGCAGGTCAGGCTGCAGCCTCGTTGCACACCATGGCGGTGCTTCAGGCTTATCAGGCTGATCTGCTGAAAGACCTGGATAAGGGTCAGGGTCTATCCCCTGATGAGGTGGCTGAGTTGCGTCGCACCACAGATCTCCGTGCCACTAAGCAGACCGCCACTGCCATTGGCAGATCTATGGCGGCGATGGTGGTTACGGAGAGGCATCTGTGGGTGAACCTGGCGGATATCATGATTAGAGAAAGGGCTTTCTCCTTGATGCACCAGTTTCCCCTTCTGAGCTTTTCGGAACTTCCATCGAGACAGTGGTCGAGAAGTTTAAGGAGGCCAAGACGTGCTCGGCCGCCTTTAAATCCTTCATTCCACGAAGGTCCAGGTCTGAGCC